CAACCCTCAAGAACAAATATGGTACTTGCACATATTTGATCATGCCTTTTGGACTTTGCAATGCACCTGAAACCTTTTACGCTGAAATTAGCAGCATCGTCAAACCCTTTCATGATCGATTCGTAATCGCCTATCTGATGGATATCCTAGTATTCAACAAAACAATCAAGGAACATACAAAAGACTTAAAGAAGGTTTTACAAAACTTGAGAGACCACAAGTATAAGATTAATAAAGAAAGGTCAGCCTTTGGGGTTTATTCTCTCTTTGTACTCAGATCATGTGATTTTTCAGTGGGCTTAGCCCATGAACCCTTTAAGGTACTGGTTGTTCGGGGAGGGCTTAACCCTAGACAGTCCAAGACATAAGGTCATTCTGGCTTCCTTTTATTTATTTATTTTTTTTGAAGAAAGTCCGACTTCTCCCCTCTAATATTCAATACGAGAAAAAAAAAAAACAAGAACAATGTAGTAGCCCTACTGTGATATGTTTGTACTTTACTCCGTACTACCTGTACAAATGCTACTGGTAGTCTCTCTCTATCCACATGTCACTCGACAAATCTTGCTTGAAAACTCTACTCCCATTTGATTCTTCTCGCCAACACCAGGAAAGACGCACTGGTTCCACACTTCCCACTAAAAGTAGTTATGTTTTTAATCTTGGGACAGACCCTGCCTGGGGGTCATGCCCGACCGAGCACCCGACCAGGTATCTTGAGACAAGTTGGGTCCTCGGATGCCCGGAAAAACAATGAGAACTCTACTATTGCCACTCCTCTGACTAACCTATTGGCTAAGGAGTTCCCCCTAAAATGAACTCCCCAGTGCCAATTGGCTTTCACTCGCCCAGACACATGAGCTGAAACTGCCTGACCCTACCTTGCCATTTGTGTTGACCGCATATGCAAGTCAATATGGTGTTGGGGCGGCTCTTGAACAAGATGATGGGACTAAACTAAAGCCCAGCAGTATGAAGATCAATGTCCAAAGGATCCTGACTTCTACTTGTGTGTGTTCCCTTAAACAATGGAAACGTTTTTTTACAAGGAAGACACTTCAAGATCGATTCAGACCATCCGACCTTGCAGTGGAAGGAAACCCAAAGGGAGTTAAATGATGAGTTAGGAAGGTATATTATCAGTCTAGTCCCCCATATGTCGTACGCGGGTTCGTCGCCATACGGTCGGTTCCCGTCCGAACCGGCCAGGTTCGTGGGGGGGGTGTCGAGGGGGTTTTGACCCCTTGGGGTGGTAGGGGGGGTTGCGAGGGGGGGTGCTGTATTTTTATGTTTTTTCGGGGGGGGGCGGGGATTGGGTAAAAAAATGATTGATTTGATTGATTGATTAATTGATTGATTTAATTTATTCATTGATTGATTGATTCATTGATTGATTGGTTGATCGATTGATTGGTTGATTGATTGATTGATTGATTGAACAAGAAAGTTGCGTGCAACAGCGCGCGGTAGTGTGAGAGAGAGGGGAAGGCTGCGGGAGCGCGGCAAGCAGCGGGAGCAAAAGAGGCAGTGGGAGTAGGAGCGGGAAGGCAGTGGGAGAGGGGGAGGCAGCGTGAGAGGGGGAGCGGGGAGGCAGCGGGAGTTGGAGCGGGAGAGGGAGAGGGAGCAAGGGAGGCAGCGGGAGTCGGAGCAGGAGAGGTAGCGGAAGGAGGGAGGCAAGGGGAAGGGGCAGAATGTGTGTGTGTGTGTGTGTGTGTGTGTGTGTGTGTGTGTGTGTGTGTGTGCGTGAGTGTGTGTGTGTGTGTGTGCGTGCGTGCATGTGTGTTTGCGTGCGCGCGCGCGCGCGTGTGTGTGTGTGTGTGTGTGTGTGTGTGTGTGTGAACACGGGGGGGAGGCGACCCCCCCCCCAACAATCAATCAATCAATCAATCTTTTTTTGCTTTTTTTTCATTTTTTTGCTTTTATACAATCAATCAATCAATCAATCAATCAACCAATCAGTCAATCAATCAATCAATCAATCAATCAACCAACCAATCAATCAATCAATCAATCTTTTTTTTTTTTTTTTCACAACCCTGACCCCCCCAAAAAAGTTTGGGGGGGGGGGGGTAGCCCCCGACACCCGCACCCCCGCCCTGCCCCTCATTCCCCCGACCCCCCCCTCACATGGCCATGTGCGGAGGGCCGAATTTCCGTACATATGGGCCGTACGGGCCCAAAAGGCCCATGCCGTACGGAAGTTCGCGCAGCCCGTCCCCGTACGTGAGGCATACACTGGTCTGTGTATCCCTAATGACCGTAAGATCAAGACTCATCTTGTTGTTGAGAGTCATGATGCTCGTGGACAGTTTGGGTTCATGAAGACTTATGTGGCCTTGGCCCAAAGGTTCTACTGGCTGGTCATGACAAAGGATGTTCTCAAGTACTTGCACACTTGCGAGTTGTGTCAGAGGAATAAGGTCCACTAGCGACCTTCTATGGGACCTCTCAAACAATTGCCTACCCAAAGGTTCTACAGGTTGGACATGAAAAACAACGTCCTTAGGGACTCAAACATTTGCGAGATGTGCCAAAGGAATAACGTCCATAGGCGACCTCCTATGGGACTTCTCAAACCATTGCCTATCCAAATGGTCCTCGCGAGTTAGTGTCAATTGACTTTACTGATCTTTGCAAGACTACCCCCCATAGCATGCGACAAGTTATGGTTTGTGTTGATCGTTTTTAAGTACATAAAAGTCATTCCATAATCGGTCAAGGTGAGAGTTCCTCGAATTAGAGAGGTCTTCTCTGAGAGGTGGGTGAGAGGTAGGTGAGAGGTGGGTGAGAGGTGGGTGAGTGCCCATGGACACCCAACCTCCATCGTTAGCAACAGAGACCTGCATTTTTGCAGCGATGAGCGGAGTCCTATTGCAAGGACTATCTCCACTCTAGATTGGACATGACAACTGGCAGACATCCTGAAGCCAATGGACAGGCAGAGGTGATGAACCAGATTTTATTTCAGTTGTTTAGACCTGTGATAACACTAGATCAATATGATAAGTACAAACATTTGTCTAGGGGCCAGCTAATGTATAACACTTTGATCCACATCACTACAAGATTTACCCTCTACCGGCTACGTTGTGGTAGAGATCTAAGACAATTCCTCGCAGGAAGCATTGATAAGGCTAAGCCCAAGCTACCTTTTGTCACTAGACAGTTTGTCAGAAGTTATGAACTGGACTTAAAGAGAAGGCACGAAGTAACATGTGTAAGGCCCATAAGAGAATGCTCAAACAAGCTAACAAACACCCAACCTCCATCGTTAGCAACAGAGACTTGTGCTTTTGCGCTTTAGCAGTCCTACTGCAAGGACTATCTCCACTCTAGATTGGACATGGCATCTAGCAGACATCCTGAAGCCAATGAACAAGCTTAGGTGATGAACCAGACTCTATTCTAGCTGTTGAGACCTATGATCACAACAGATCAACAGGATTGGGCAAACATTTATTGAGGGCTCAACTAATGTATAACACTTTGACCCACATCACTACAGGATTTATGCCCTACCGCCTACGTTGTGGTAGAGATCCAAAGCAGTTCCTCGATGGAATCACCGACAAGGCTAAACTCCAGCTAACTCCTGGCGCTAGAGAGCTTGTCAGAAGTTATGAACTAGACTTATCAAAGGCACGAACTAACATGTATAAGGCCCAAAAGAGAATGATCGAACAGGCTAACAAACACGGGTTGCCTTCCACCATCCGACCAGGACATTGGGTTTGAGTAAAGAGGTCTAACTTCTCCGACGAAGTGGATATTTCTCAGAAGTTGCTGCCCTAATATTATGGTCCATGGCAGGTTCTGGATACAATGGGAGCTGATCCCTTTCATCCATCCTATGTCCTGGATGCTCTACCCCATCTGAGAACATATCTTGTCTTTCATGCATTCTCAATTTTGTCCATCTATCCCCCGAAAGGGTTATGAAGTGCGGCAAATTGAGGCCCCAACAGGGAACTGGCCCCTAACTCTATGTACCTTGTCAAGTTCTTCTTCCAACCACATTTAGGTGGTTGATACGAAAGGAGCTCCTCAAGACCGCCAAGTCCATTGTACTAGCATCTGAGGTAAAGGACAAGGGTCTACAACCTGGCCGATCACCTCGTGGCCGCTACCAGCTCGGAGGTCCCGCTCCCCGGGAGGGTAGGAATGCAATGTTCTGGCAGTTTCTTGGCGGGCCAAAACACTAATTGGGACACTTTTGTGATTTTTCTGAGTTCCGGGTCCTAACCGGTAACTGAAACAGGCCTAAACCTATAGGGACATTTCTCTAAATTCCCTAAACTACTGCTAAATGGATACTTCTGGCGCTAAACTTTGTTTCAGGCCTAAACGAACTGCTGCTCAATTACTGCTTCAGACCGGTACTGTTATTACTGGAAAACACAGACCCATAACTGTTAGTTGTCTTAGCCTCTTAGGGCCTAGGAGTTTGGTCCAGTTCAGAACTATAGATAGAGTCAGCTCGAAGGGTCAGAGGTCTTTGACCTGTTGGTCTTCAGCTGGCTGGTTACTGTATGGAGTTCACGTTGACACCGCCAGGCTGCTGGAGCAGCGCTTTACCTAGGAAGCCGCTGATAGGATTCAAGGCAGCAGTGAAAGAAGCGCTTCAGCTGCTGGGCCTGGCGACGCCATATCTGTGTTGTGGGGGTGAGGAGCGGCCATATCTTCTTTTGCGAGGCAGCTGTTCTTCTTCTTCTTCAAGCTGGATGTTCCTTCTTCCTCCTGGAGTTGGCACTGTTCATCCTGGGAGGTCTCTGACTCAGCATTGCTGCATCTTAGTTTTTTTTGGGAGGGCGTTGGGGTTCCTGAGGCTGTCAGAGTGAGGTGCTGGCTATCTGCAGGATTTGGGGCTGAGTGCTGCACTTCTACGCTGTGCGCCATAACTGGATGATGGGAGGCTGGAGAGAGAGAGAGAGAGAGAGAGAGAGAGAGAGAGAGAGAGAGAGAGAGAGTAGATGAAGTCTAACTTGCTATTTGGCACTGACCTTGCCGCTTCAACAATGATAATGATACCCAGAGGATCGAACCCTTTCTGGTCACACAAGAAGGCGTCAATGGCATACGGAACATAGTCCAGACGAATCGACTCCTGATTGTCCGGGTGTTTTGCCTTGCTGACGAGACCTGATGACAAATACTCTGGAGGGGACAAATCAACCTTTTGTAGCTCTAACGCTCTCTTGGATCGCATTGCCCTCTCCTCTGCTCTCGTCCTGCACACGATAAATGCATACAGTGCCACATCAGGGTAAGACTATTAATTTAGGCCTTCCAAAGTCTTACAGACTTACACCATTAACTGAGAGAGAGTTATGGATAAGCTTATCATCATATGGTTTATAGTAACTTTATGCGTATGTCATCGATATATAACTCATTTTTGTGACTCCCGCGTAGTTTCCCTTTAGTTGATTTATCCTTTATGCATTGCGCAATGTACATGCATTTTTTGTACTACTCAGTGTGTGTTTACGATTTATTAATGTGTAGCATTGTGTACTAATATGTATTAACCTAAATCATCCTTCAGAACTCCATTCTTAACCCCCATCTCCATCTTTGTCCCCTCTGGCGATACATGTTGTTGTTGTTGTTGTTGTTGCCGTTGTCGTTCTTTGTTGTTCATCTTTCTCCTCCCTGCTCCCCCTCCTCTTTCCGCTCCTCGTCTTCCTCCTCCTCCTCCTTCTCCTCCTAAATCTCCTCCTCTTCTTCCTCCACCCTCTCTGTGTTGTTGTTGTTGTTGTTGTTGTTGTTGTTGTTGTTTTCGTATTTCTCCCGATGGACCACAGATCAGATATTAAAGCACCCGTACTTCCTAGAGTTGTGCCCGTTAACGCGCCACGATTTTAGGAAACGTACAGGCTACTACAGGAGCGCCCAAATTCATCCAACTAGAAACTTTTCTACTCTATTTTTTTCCGCGGCCAATAGCTGGGCCAAGTACTGGTGGTTTAAACTGATCAGAACAGATACTACACTTGATCTTAGCCAAAAGGCCGAGAAAGATATATTGTTGTTGTTGTTGTCCTCCACCACCTGCTTCTTTGTTTTCGTCTTATCCTCCTCCTTCTCCTTCTCCTACTGCTCTTCTTCTTTTTTCCTTCTCCTCCTCCTCCTCCTCCTCTTCCTCCTCCTCCTTTTTCTCCTCCTCGTTCCACCCAGGATTGGAATCCCCCAAAGTTCCAAAACTGCTTAATTATCATATTCTTTATTGTGATTAACTTATAATTATTATTACAATCAGGTGCGCACCACAGGCTATGCCAGCGGTGCAGAGCCACTCCTCCCCCTGTCCCCCGTTCCACGACCATCACCTCCTCCTCCTCCTCCTGCTCGTGTCATGGCCCCTCCTACCCCTCTCGTCCTTCGCCATCCGATTGCGGAGCGTAGACACATCCCCCAATTAAAAAACCCATAACCCAACAAAAACACAGCGAGATCGGGTTAAAAAAATAAAAAAATTACAACGCCGAGCTCGAATCCCGGGACGAAATGGCGTGGATTCAGCACCTCAAAGGGTGATGGCCTTGGCCCTTGAGATATCATCTTCAAACTGACCAGCCCTAGGTAAATTCAGAGTTGCTCACTCGTCTGAGGTCATTGGGATTCGAGCTGAGGTCTGTTTTTCAACAGTTCATGCATGTGTCTCAAGTGAGATAGGATGACACACATGCATTTCAACGACGCGCCTTTCTCCACTGCTGGCTACATGCACAAAAGACAAAAAAATAGGCGGTATATCTTCCCATGTTCCAGCGGAAGATTCTTTCTCATTTTCTACATTTGGCCCCTGTGCAAGGATGACACGCATAATTGACAGATAGGGCCTCCCTCCGCTACTCTCCAAATGCGCAAAATGAGACTGCATGCTCCACTAGAACATGGAGAGATAGATTGGCATATTTTTTGTCTTTTGTGTAGCGGAGCGAGGCCACTACTCTCCAAATGTGCAAAATGAGACCGAATGCTCCACCAGAACATGGAGAGATACATTGCCATTTGTTTTTGTCTTTTGTGAACACGGAGAGTAGGGAAGCGAGGCCCATAGTCCCAAAGAAAACAAAAACACAGAATGAATCTACAGGGAAAAAAAATAAGAAAAAACACAACTCAACGGCATCGACAGATAGGGTCTCACTCGACTACACCCCAAATGTCCGAAATGAGAACGGATCTTCCGTTGGAAAATGGGAAGATACAGTGATACACCACCATGTTTTTTGTCTTTTGTGTATCCCTCGCGATCGCTCCCATCGTCTGCGGTCACGGAGGGTCTTCCTCGCGATCGCTCCCACTGCATGCGGTCACAGAGGGCCCGCCTCACTCCCGTGACTTCCCGGACCCCGCGACGTTCTGCCACTTTTTCCCCGCCCTCAGCTGCGACGCTTCCCAACACTTGCGCGAGGTCCTGCGTGGGACCGTCATGCTAGACCCTCTCTTTTCTTTAATAAGATAATAAAGGACTAATATCTTACATGGTTAACGAAAAGAAAGAGAGAGTAATTCATGTTGCTCCCCACCCCAACCATGGTGGTCAAGGATGGGGTGGGGCCGCCGGTGGGGGTCCCCGGCTAACGCAAAGACTGAGCATTTCACCAGTAGCTGCGCCTCCCTTTCTCATCGCCCCCCACCCCAACCCACTCACGCTCGCACTCACACCTGTGTTGGTCATAGACCCTGCTAATACCGATCAGGGGTCTCCAGAGGACTATCACAGTCCGTTGGCACCAAGTGCGCCGCAGGCGGTCATGGGCTTGAACCCACAACCTCCTGAATGCCACTTGCATGCCTAACCAACTGAGCTACCTCGTTTGCGAGGCCCTGTGCTTGCAGGGGTCCACTCTATATATAGTCTTAGGAGTAGTGGTAGGAAAGGTAGTGAAAGACAAAAAGAATTTGAGAGAAGAACATAGTGTAGTAACACTGTAGTTCAAAAAAAAAAAAAAAAAAAAAAAGAGAGAGAGAGAGAGAGAGAGAGAGAGAGAGAGAGAGAGAGAGAGAGATTTGAAACTTACCAGACAGTATTGGCAGTCGTCAGACTCTGTAACTCATGCAGTGAGCACAGGAAAGCATCTTTGATAGCACATTCCCTAGCCTGCAGCCAGCCAATGGGTATTATGCAAAGATCGAAAGGGAAAAAAAAAAAAAAATAGAAAAAAAAAAAGGAAGGGAAAGGTAACAAAGGTTATCCACGTATAGCGCTCAGCGAGATAGAAATTAGAAACCAACAAAAGAACAGAGTCAAATTCTTTCTTTTTTTTCCCCTAACAAAAAACTATCTTTTTACTACAAAAGTCTGGAGATCGGGTCCGATGTCCCTTGCATGCATTCCTGAGACTCACACACCCTTCTCTCCTTTATGGCCGAGGGAACCTGAGACAGTGGCATTGATTACTTTGGAATCCTCTTCGGCACGATGTAACACCGCTCTGCCTGCCCCTCCCTGCTTGATTACCTGTACCATCAACTCTTGGTGTCCTGCTCTGACCCCTGACAGGATTGACTGCTTCCTCTTTTTTTTTTTTTTTTTTTTATACAAAAACACGTGCTCCATTTATTGGTGGGGAGCAGCATCTGCTGGAAACCGGGTCCAGCGTCCCATAGATACAACCATAACCTCGCGAATTGGCACAAGCTGGGAACCGGGCCCAGCGTCCCATGAGTACGTTCAGAAAAACCATCAGAAAATTTCATGACAATGATCCTAAGGATATACTGAGAAAGTCCAATTAAAAGAATTTGAAAGTATTTAGAGCTACTTCAGAGCTACTTCAGAGCTTTTGTGTAAGGGACTGCAGAGATAAACAAAAAGCAGAAGAAGGCTCGGGAATCCACCAACAGTCCTCCTCACCCCACTCCGGCAAGACTTACTGCAGCAAAGCCACTATCTCTACTGCTGCTATGCTCTATTTCTGTCCTACCAGCTAGCCCCTTCGCTGGCAAGACGCGTGATACCTTTCTCTCCCGATCCCTTCCCTTCCCGTTACTCAGACAAAGGTACGGGAATAGACTGCAAAATTTCTAAAAAAGCCCCCAATCCTGCAAAATCCCTAACAGATCCTTCCAAGGATCTCCAACACTGTCATATTCCCTGCCAAGCTTTCAGGCCTCACACCCCCTATCCTGCTGGGTTACAGGGCAACGCAACTCACCCCAGCTCCGGCCAGCGTTGTCTCAGCAGCAACCCTTAGTTGTCCCGTGGGATGCCCCCCCAAAGCACCCCCAGATCTCTCTACCAGGCSTCATGCCCCTGCGTCAACAGGTTACAGGGCAACACCCCAGCACCGGCCAGCGTCGTTCTGGCGTCGAACAGCCTTAGGTCACCGAGTATTACAGCTTGGAACTACCCAGAAGAGATTGCCAGGAAACCCCAGGATCCGGAAGACAGTTTAAAAACAGAACAGACTACCCCCCTTTTTTGAGAATTTTTTTTTTTTTTTTAAGTGAAAATACCGGGGCCATTACCCGGCTTTGACTCTGAGATATTGGAATGACTTCAGACGTGTCTACAACAGTCTTCATGATTTAAACAGGGCCCCCAATCAATCCCCTGGTCCCTATTCCAGCAAGACTTACTGCAGCCGAGCCACCATCTCTGCTGCTGCTGTGCTCTATTCCCATCCTACCAGCTAACCCCCTCACTAGTAGGACGCGTGACACCCCACCATCTACATGCCACAGTTCTGTCTTCGTCATCGAAGGGGAGGTCCCGGAAAGTCGACAAGTGCACCAGTTCTGTCTTTGTCATCGAAAGGGAGGTCCCGGATCACCCTCCCCAATTCCATCCTAGCAAAGGGTTCGAAGGACCATATCCTCAGCATAACCCAACAGAACCTACACTCACCTCCTTCACCCCCCCAACTCCGTCCTAGTCAAGAGTACTTCTTGGTCTCCTTCCCTAGACTTCTTAGCTTCCCATCTTTGAATTCCTGCTGGTCTCAAATTCCTTTGTCTCACTTCCTACCCTCCTCCTCTACCCTATCTCCTCCTCTACCCTATCTCCTTCTCTACCCTCTCTCCTTCTCTACCCTCCCTCCTTCTCTATCCTCATTCCTTCTCTACCCTCCCTCCTGCTCTCTACCCTCCTCTCTACCCTCCTTCTCTACCCTCCTTCTCTACCCTCCTTCCTCTCCCCTCCTGAATGACTCTCTATTTCTGCAACAAAAGGCCTTGCCTAGCCTTGCTTTTGCTTAAATTAGCTGCCTACCCTCCCTCTTACCACTATTTCGGTTCCATCTACCTACCGTTCCTATTCTCACTTTCATATTTTACTTCCTGTAGCTCCTCTGGAGTGCCTATTGAGTAATATCAACTGACTTGACGGCTCCTTGGCTTTGGCGATTGCAGGCCCCTCTTATCCCTTTTCCTTGCCCATCCTCCAAAACAAATCCTATCCCCTTCCAAAGTTGCCAGCTTTCCTTTAAATTTCCCAAAACTCCTTTATAGAAGGCCTCCCCTTATCACCCCCACTTTCTCTGGATTCTTTTCCCATCCTCTCTCTGCCTTTCCTCCCTTGTGCTATGATCTCCGTTTGAATCATTCTCTTTAGTTCGTCTTGCAGGTGTCTATCGGAGCGGAGTTACCTCACAGAGTTAGGGTGGCTGGGGACGCGGAATTCACTATTTATTGCCCGATGGTGCCAATAGAGAGAACTTAGAGATCGACCCACTAGAATGGACCTGGCATCTTGAGAGGGGGGAAGGACGGCAGTGGTTCTGATAACCAACATCCTCCCCAGAGTCTCCACTACACAACTTAATTAATGCGGCCACAAGCGCCGGGCCCAGATCTTGAGCGAAGATAGCACACCAGATTGGGCATGATGCCAGCACAGCTAAAAGAGTCGGACTCCCTTGGGGCTCAATTGCATACCATAAGTCTACCTAGGAACAGTCAAAGGCTTCCAGTGGTTAAGGGTTTCTACCTCATCCTACCCGTGACCAAATGACTTAGCGCGCGCAGGGGAAAGGACAGCAGAACGGCAGAAGGAGAGAGATGCGTAATCTGCACAGAGTTCAGTCACTGTCTACCCGAACGTCAAAGCGCGAAACAAATCCGGCAATTCGTTAAGGAATTATGGCTTCTTCTTTTTTTTTTTTTTTTTTTTTTTTTCTTTTTTTCTTTTTTCAAGTCGCTCCGTCTATTGGTGGGGAGCTGCACCTGCATCAAGAAATTATGACTAAGGGTTACCACTGCACACCTTCTAGAAAAGTCCAATTACTCTGCTGATGGGAGTACACACCCCAACCTCATCGCCACGTTTCGATTCTTTCGAATGCAACTGCTTCCAGAGGCTGAGACAATATGGGTTGTGGGTAATATCGAAGTACTGATGATATCTGGGACGCTCGACCCGGCTTCCAGCGGTTGCAGCTTCCCACCAATAGATGGAGCCTTCATCGTGAGGGGCCACTTGAGGAGGATGCTCTTACCACCTCCTCAAGTTACCCCCTCCTGCGAAGTTATCCACAACAACAAAAAACAAGCAAAAAAAAAAAAAAAGAAAAAAAAAAAGAAGAAGAAAGGTCTAGAAAATGTCAAATTCTCATTCTGTGGCCTCACTTGACGGATCAATCGGTATTGCTACAAAGAGCAGATGAAAAGGAAAAATAAGTGTCCACAGTCTTACCAACGGGCCTAGCTCAGTCGGTACACACATGAACTGTTTTTGAAATACAGATCCAAGTTGGGATCCAGATCCAATCAGACGACAGAATAAGATATTTCTGAATTACCTGGGGCCAGTTAGTTCAATGAGGATATCTCAAG